CAGTTGTACTTCGTACTCCTCCTGTGCAGGTGTCTCGGCCAAGGCCTTCTTCATGTTAGTGATGTACGGAGCTATGCTAGTCAGCGCGATGTCATTTTACTGAGATGTCGTAAGACTCACCAATGGCCGTGTGGTCTATTTTGAGTTCTCCCAAAGCCTCGGAGAGGCTTGATACGGAATCACTTCGCCAATGGGGTTCAGATTCTGGCGGGGTCAAAATTGCAGGCGGAGCAGCTGACTGCTGTGAGTAGCCATGTTGCGGAGCATAGCTCATGGTTTGCTGAATGACCTGAGGCTGGGACATCGCCTGGTAGTGACATGATTCCGGCGCCTGTTGATCCACATAAGGTGAAGGTTGGTACATGCCCTGGGTGGTAGGCATGGAAGGCGGCATCTGGTGAGACATGCCCTGCGACATGGACGGATGGCGTTGATAGTCATGCTGGGAAGACGGATCCGAGGCATACTCCAAGGGCTTGGGCTCCAAATCGAAGGTCTGCGAGCCATTGTAATCTTTGTCATAGCTGACTGTGGGCGGCACGCAGTTGAGTTTTAGACGGATGCAAGCAGCGCAAGGCCACGCGTTCGTCGTCGCTGCATCGCATTTGATCTTGCGTCTACGACATCCTTCGCATGCTCTCATTACTGCTCAACGTTAGCATTTGCATGTCAACCAGATTTCATGCTATCACACCTTTCAAGCGTTTGTGTCTATTGTGTTCGTCTACGAATACATAATCTAACGTTATGTCAGTCACCTTTTCCCCACCGCGCAGAGCGGTGTATGGACTTACTGCGCTGGTTCTCGCGCGGCGCCAGCGTGGGCGGCGCAAAGGTGAAGCTCTGCATTTGCGCCGTTTGTGGCAGCAGTGGCCGTCCAGTGGTCTCCGGGGGCATAACGTTAATAGGTACAACGAGCCGGTCCGGAGTGACAGCGCAAGGCCTGGCGCAGTGGTTGCAAGCAGCGGGGTTGTCGGCTATCCACTAAGTCGATGAGGTTGTGTGCGGTGGTCGGTGAGCAGCCAATAGTAGCGGCGCGCGATGACGGTCCAGAATGTCCAGAGGGCCGGCGGACGGAAGAAATCGCGGAAAGGCCAGAACTAAACACAAAGAATGCGAAATCGAGAATAGATGCACTGTAGAATCCTGTAGCGCAAGGGAAATCTCCGCGACGCCGCGGCGTCGTTAGGTTATACGGCAGATCAGGGCAGAAGGCGCATAGGGATGGTAGGTGGAGACGATGTCTGGCATGCCGGGGTTTCGAAGACGCACTGGCAGCCGGCTCGCAGCGTGGCTCACGCGCACAATAGTGGCGTCGCAGTGTATGGATCTCCTGAGAGTCGAGAGTATTGTGGTCCTAGGCGGTTCACCGTGTATGAAGGGGTCGATAGGCGGGCGAGGGGTAGACGATATGCGACTTAAGCGTGCAGGATCCAGGAGCCGCACTGCTGCACAAGTAGCGCCTTTGGTATGGGCGCCCAAGCTGCACGCGCGTGAGCGCAAGCGTCCGCTTCCAAGATGCTGCGGGCACAGGGAACTGCCGTGCTGTGGGGGTGTGAGGCAATGGGACGCAGGGATTGTCGTGCCCGTTAGAGATGGCCTGAATCGTAACACGTAGAACGACGGGTAGTGTGGACTGCCATGGGCCGGGAACGATTGCTATAAAATCAGCGGGGGCAAAGTCTGACAGCTGAAAAGGCCGTCGTACACGGCGCCGCTCTCACTCAGCACATTCCAAGGCAAGTAAAACCCTTCAGCGGACCGCGTACGCAATCTGTCGCGAGGTTTTGGTGGCGGGTGCATTTGCTGGATTGCCCAGAAAAAGAAGATCAAATGTGACCAGTAGACTGCAGAAGCCCGGTCCTGCCCGTGATAGGGCTGGACGATTTCGAAAACCTTGCGCGTGCATTTAGTCGGTTCATAGTCGTACCTAGTTTCTCATCTCGCACAACCTTAGGTGCCTGAATGTTTGAGACATGGTCTGGCAGTGTACCGCAATGACAGGTGGGCCTTCTAGAAAGTGATCTCCGAATGCTAGCTTCGATGACGAATGTTATGCTTTAGCCGACATATAATACAAACAGGTGCACGACTATAGCAGACTAGATAGGGGTACGAACATTCGTCTGGTAGGACGCTGCACGACTTTCAGGGAGACCAAAGCGAAACAAATCTTGTCCACATAGTTGCGGCAATGACTTGGCTCGACACGGTGTGAGGATAGGCGTCCACTACTCGACGTCGCGTGTCGGCCTCGGTAATGTGCCGCCGTCTTCATCGGTGGCATCTCCATGGCCTCAGACTCGACGTTCACTCAAGAGGCTTTGGACGGGTTGGGCATACGCGATCCCGTCATATGCCGCAGAGCCTACGGCAGAACCGGTGTGTGTCGTTGAGCTCGACACGTCGGCGAATTGATTCGTACGGAAGCTTGGTAGGGCCATCTGCATGCAAGGTTCTAACGGCAGACGCATCACCATCAGCGTAGCCTGCATGAAACAATATTACTCCAGATGGCTACTCTCTGTTGGGCTAAGATGATTTTTGGACATGTAGTCTGCACAGACAGACGGCATGGTACTGCATGAACCGAATACGAGTATTGCGGCCGTGAAGCGAAACATAGCTGATAGAAGTTGGAGAAGGCTTCGATCCGATGCATGGATCGTGTTCTCGTCCGCCACGGGCGATTGCATGACATGAAGAACGACCGAAGATTGCATGGAAAGCTAAGGTTAGGGTCGAAAGTCCCTTTCCTTAGGCACCCTCTTCTAATCTGTCAACCATACTGCCGGGTCGCGCTCGCTCTTGCGCGGCAGGCGAAAAGGCTGTGCAGCTGAATAGCTTAGTTTGCCCGACAGGCAGGTGGCATGATGCTGGCTGCGATGGCAGAGGCAAATAGCAGCCAGGTCACTTCTGCTAGCTTCGATCACGCAGAGACGTGACGGGCGTTGCCAAGTCGCATCTTGATGGAGCGAGACGGGATGGTTCGATGACTGACAGGTGCTGGCGCCAGGCTACCGTCGACACATGGAAGGTCGATAGAAGCGCAGTGTTTTCCGTGGCGTCCGGGCAAGATAACGCGAATACTGACCTCATCTTGCGCTGATCACTGCCGTTGATCTCCCTGCAGCTCAGGAACACGGCAATCAAAGCAGGGACAATCCAGCAGCACGGTTGGTCGTGCACCGGATGAGGCAGCACATCCGTTCTGAAGGCAGTACAGTGCGGGAGGAGCCGACAGATGTTGTTTGTACTACAGCACGACAGTGAGTTGTAGAGCATCACGGCCGTCTCAAAAGCCTTGATAACATGATCAACATGCCTGTGCAAAGCGCGAAGAGTCGTCGAGCTGGTCGATCAGCCGGAAGCGTCGGCTGCCGATGAAGCCCAAGCACACTCGCCAGCCGCGATGCTTCTCACCTTCTAGATGCGCACTGGAGGTTGGCCGAGACTGGCCGAGGGAGACGGCAAGATGGGCGCAGGAGTTGACGAACTGCATACCGGCGCCGTGATCGAATGACACGATGCTGCTCGGCATCTGCAGACACTAGTCAAACACGGGTACCCTGTGGTGTGAACGGTGCACCCCACACCCAAGTGTCCCCTGTGTGTCGCGGATAATCTGCGGGAAATTATTATATTACAGAGCAATTGGTAAGGCATCCAGGAATCCCTATGCGGCCCCGGCGGCCATGGCCGGGCGAAGTGTGTGGGAGAGGGTGGAGAGGGTGAAGGACCAATAGCGGGTGACTGGGTCCGACTGTCTGGCTGGCTGGCACATGCTAGATGACGAACACCGAGGAGGGGCTGCGGGTGGTCCGGGCGCACCTTCCTCGCAGATTTGCTGGAGAGGCAAGAGCCCACGACGGCTCCTTCCCTCAGCCACCACTACACCAAGACGACGCGTCCCCTGCAAACCACGGCAATGGAGCTCGACAAGGACAACGCCAACCCAACCATCTTGAATCCCTCGGATCTGCCCTCCCGACGCAGCGAGTCGACGGTCAAGAGGCGCGATGACGGCGGGACCGGCCTGTTTGATGACTTGATACCGCGCTACAACTACCTCAGCGACCCCTTCGACGACTCTGCGTCGGCAAGCGCATCTGATAGTGACGACGCACGTGAGGACATCGACGAGCAGGAAATCTACGGTGGGCGCGCATGGTGGCTCTCTATCAAATTAACTTTGGCTGACCCCGCGCATGACAGACCTCATTTCCACCATCTGCGACCCTGAACACCCGTTGTCCCTCGGCTCACTATCTGTCGTCAACCTGCCCGACATTCACATTCTGCCGCCCTCTTCACCGCTTTCCAACATCAGCACCGTCGTCGTCGAAATCACCCCGACCATCACCCATTGCTCCCTGGCCACCGTCATCGGCCTAGGTGTCCGCGTCCGCCTCGAGCACGCTCTACCCCCACGCTTTCGCGTCGATGTCCGCATAAAAAAGGGCACCCACAGCACTGATGAGCAGGTCAACAAGCAGCTCGGAGACAAGGAGAGGGTCGCCGCTGCCCTCGAGAATGGTACGCTGATGGGCGTGTTGAAGAAGATGCTCTCCACGTGCGAGTAGATCCCATGTCGCTCTGTTCCCCAACAACACTCTCCAGGCCGCCATCTTGGTTCGGAATCAACGGCGTGCCCGAGATCGTCATTTCCGCCGTATCCATAATACGGCAACATTGCGTACCATGGCAGCATCTCCCAACGGATATACCTCCATGTTCGGATCCGATCATAGCTCGCCAGACTAGGGAATGCCTCGGTTTGTCACAATATTGATCCTGTCCGTCAATATGTAAAACGCTCATGCAGGAGGCGCGTGCCCAACCCCCTGCGTCGATCATTAGTGTCCTGTTGGATATAGCATGTTCCTGCAGGCTAATGTCGTACACAAAGTCAGATCTGACCTCACTACAAGGACTTCGCCCACAGAGAGCCTGTTGCCGCTATTCGTGTATGTGAAAATAAGTTTCGATGGCGTACTTGGCTAGAATGGCGACGGCTGATAAGTCTTGGGCTCATCACAAGATCCGGTTGATTTAGCCGCGCGCACACCGCAACGTGTGATGGGCGAGAAGACTATTAGGCCGAGTAGTATTAGGAGCAGATGTGGTATGAACATCTTCGGAAGTGTCAGAAACTGCGCATGCAGCTTTGGGGTCACTCAATAGCCATCCTTTCGTTGTTCAATTATGCCGGCTTCATGTTTTGCACTTGTTTCCTTCTGCAAGTGACGCATTCCCTTTTACAATCGCATGTTGTAGAGATGACGAAGCATCCGTGCAGCCTGGAGCATAATTCAATACCCGTCTGCTTCCTCAACTGAACGCTCAGATCGACCGACCTTGGCCAGAACCTTCTCTCGTCTTGAATGTGATGCTGGATGGCTGTTTGTGAGAGCTATTACGAGCTCATGTTCTGGTGCAGGGCATGTAGCATGCCGACTTGGGAAAGTTACTCATAGTATGAAAGAAGCAGCAACCTACTTACACCAACCGACAAGCGAAAGAAGATCCGCCTAGCACGCAGCCACGTTCTAACGCAGGATTGTTTTTATACCCACCTTTAAATCTCATAGTCTCTGAATCTTAGACAGCATTAGCACCCAGCAACCGTGTCACAAGCTAGTACTGTATCCCACGTAGAAACGGGTCTCTGCGTTGCAGCCTCTTTGTTGGTTGTTTCTTCCGTTCTCAGAAAACTAGACGCGTCCATAGAAGTTGTGATAACGCTGTTTATCTCCAAAGTTTCCATCATCGCTGTCTTGACGCTGTCGCTACTTCAGAGGCGCAAAACAAATCGCGCAATCGGAGAGCAGATATGGTCGAGGAGGTAAGTCACAAGCTTGAAAAGAGTGAATGCATCTGCACAAAAATTCGGAGCAAAAGAGCGATTAGAACAAACGCGCAATCACGTACTTAGCTCCCTCTACTTGGCACTTGTATACTCAAACTGACGGAATATAATCGAATAAGCAAACACATGAGCCTCCACTTAAACAGATTCTCACCCGCCCAATTTCCTTGTCAGATTAAACATCCACAATCTCTCAACGTCATGGCGCTATCCTCGGGTCAAACTGCATGGATCGTGCTACCATGCATCCTCCTCTCTCTCTTCGCGGCCCGCTCCCTCCTCGAAGAATTCGCATCACCAGACGAACGCGGTCTTATCATACTCGCTAAAGCAGCACTCGTCTTCTTCATCACACTTGTTCTCACCACCAGAGCAGCGAACTTGCTGATCCATCCCGCTCCGTCACCAACACAACCACCAACTAGGAATGTTCTGCGTAAGAAACGAAAGATTTCCCCAGCAATCGAGGAAGACGTACGTTCCTGGCGTGAAACCAACCCTCCGAAGCTACGTTGGAGCTCTGACTCATCGGATGAGGTAAAAGAGGAAGTGAAGCCCCGAAGGAAAGAGAAGAAGAAGAATAAGACTAGCAGAAAGAAGAAGGAGAGCGATACCGACAAGTCTCTGAGAAAGAGCTTGTTCGAAATTTTCAAGCCGAAAAGATACGAGATGCTTGGAATAAGAAGGGAGACGGTTGAGGAAGTCGTATGGGAAGATCCATTGCTCTAGATGGGAATGGGGAAGGATAAATGAATGACGAGTAAATGTGACTACAGAAGGCTGATTACGAGTATAACTTCTTGAGTAGCCCATTTCTATGGCTTCCTTGCGCAAGCTATTCCCTTTCAAAAAAAAATTAGATTTGCCATTGGTAGATATAAAGGTAGCAGCAAACCCTGAAAGCCTAGCGACCGTGCGATGGAGTGTGACTGTCTAATCAGTCAGTCCGAGTTAACAACTCACAGCCAGTGTTTTACATACTTCTATAGACTCCTAAGACCAGTCAACAAATCCTCAATCCCCTCACCCTGTTCCAGTCTTCCACTGACAGCCTCTCCTTTTTCCCTCATACAAGCCCTGAGCCCAATCCCCGACATCGCCCTATAGTATCAACCTCCGCCTCTAGGATCTCGAGAATTTCCCTTTCGAGAGCAGTATTGACTGCCATACCTATAGAAGGGTAGACATCTCCATCTGTAGACGGCCTTTCCGTTGAAATACCGGTTGCGTTGTGTGCGAACATACCCTGTGTTACGTCCGTAATTGTGCTGTTCCTGTTCTTGTTTTTATTCTGCTCGGCCGTGGGTGTGTTGTAGTATCCTGCTTCTCCCTCCTTGATCCGTATCTCAATCGGCTTGAACCATCGGAAGTAGATAATCGCCCATATGAAGAAGCCGAGGATGCCGCATCCACCCAGACCGCAGATCAGGCCGATAGTGGTAGGGGAGAGGAGTGTGGCGATTCCAGGTGTCGGCGTGTTTGTGTGTTTTTCGATAGGACCGGTGTCAGTGTGAGCCGCTGCTGGTCGGACAATGTTTGCCATGGTTGCTGAGGATATCGTCACGACTTTAAAAGCAGCTGTAGACACGTAGTATTTGATTCCGAAGGTGCTTGTTGTGGCTGCGAGAGCAAGTGCCGGTGTTTAGGGATGGACGAAGTCTTAGAGATGAATAGTTACCAAACGTTTGTGGGCTGAAATTGGAGTACGCAAAAGTGAGAGTGAAGGCGAGCTGTACGACCTTTCTCAATGTGAAGAATTTGCAATGCATCTAACATAGTCCTGTGTAGATAGGTATAGATAGATACCACGCTTGTGATGAATTAGTAAAACCGAGGGACATCACAACCACCTCAGAGACGGGGTTGACGTTGATGGCAGATCCTTGATTAGTCTGACGGGGCGATTTTAACGCTGTGGTATCAGGAAAGAAGTAAGGTAGGTAGGGCAAACAGATGGAGAATAGAAGTAGAGATTGCAGAAGAGGAACAAGCCAAGCAGTGGTCTCACCTCACTCTTCGTATGGGTATATTCTTTTCGCCTTGCTTGCAGGCGCATACTGCGTTCCTAAGGCCTTACCAATCACTATTCTCTCAACGTCAAGCTCTTGTGCTTGGCCGCAAACTGTGATATGCCCTTGATCATCACATCACGTTGCATGCGCACATGCTCATCGTGCCTGCCTCGCACAGCCACCAGGAACGGTAGTCTTTTCATGCGTTATCCTAACTTCTTATGCCCCCGCCATCTCATTTTGCTTTGTTCTTCGCTGCCTCGGCCTCTCTCCTCGTCGCGTCCTCAAGCAGAGCGGTGTCCACAGCACCGGAGGGAAGGTGCACGTATCTTACGACGGAGCCGCGAATGAACATGTCTTTTGTCGAGCACTGTCGCCAAATCAGCCTCAGTTGCTTCTTACAACGCCCGAAGCCTTGTCCGAGATATGCTACCTCGTCCTGAGCAGGGGAGAATCGCAATGTCCAAAACATACCAGATGCGGCCACCTCAGCTCATCCACAGCCTCGGCATTGTCTAGCTTGATGTTCAGGTATTGGTCCACGCTCTTGAGTGTGCCGCGGATCTGGACTTCGTTCTTGAGTTCGACGGTGATTTCGTGCTCGACGAGCGTTTTGAAGAAGCTATTGCGCTGCTGTTAGCACATGTGTGATGCTGGGCGTAGAATGGAAACGGACCTGAAGAAGAGCATTGTCTGGATATAGAACACAAGCCTGTGGTAGGAGATGGCGTGTGTAGCTGGACTCGAGTTGTGTGGAGTATTGGACGCGGCTCTGGGTGTATATGGCAGAGTGACGAGGTTATGCGCAGCGCATGGACCGCGTGGGGTTCGCGCCGGCGCGAGCGAGGCTGATCTGCCGCCTCACCCCTCTGACCTCAGCACCACCATTATGTTTGATGCATAGAGACAATCAGACACTACAAGACGTGGTTCAAATATTTCCGACACTGTCTTCGATTATTTACAAAAGAAATTCGCTATGTGGTATCAACCTAGTCCAGGCAAGTCCAGCCTATCCAACCCAATCTATCCTACGCCATCGTGACCACATCACATCATGTCCTCTCCTCTCCATCACTTCCTCGCCCAGCCGTTCAATGTTCGCCATCCAGCATGGCCTTGTGCGCCCTCTTCCAGCACGTTGACAACACCTTCCAGTAGTTTCTCCTCATCCTTGCCCATCTCCATTTGCAACCTAAGCAACCACCTTTCCCATGCCCAGCTTCCTACTACACCCGTCAACATTGCCGCATCCATCGTAGTGCCAAACACTGGTGCATCCTCGAGCTCAATTTCGCCGTCTTCTGTGATGCGACGCTCTTGATGCTTTGGCTCGGCGCCAACAGCAAGTGTGTCGCGCCAGTTTGCTGCCGTCTTGCCCATGGGAAGAAGCATCCACGCTCTTTGTACGTCCCTGAAGCCCGCTTTTGAGATGCGCGGGAGGAACGTCTTGGTGGGCTGCGCATCGTAGCCGCGTGTCTTGAGGTTGAAGCCGAACTCGACACTCATGGCTTGAGCATTGCGGCCGGCATGGACAACATCGGCATCCATGAGGCTGAAGTCAAGGATGCCACCAGGCTTGAGACAGCGGTAGCACTCCTTCAAGCACAGGTCGTATTCGTCTGATGACTTGCCGACGGGTTTGCTTGTCTTGAGAAGCTCGTATAGTGTACGCGCCGAGACGACGTCGAAGTGACCAGAAGGGAAGGGGAGAGTCCACAGGTTAGGAACAGTGAGGTGCTTGTGGTTGTCTGGACCCTTGACGTTGGAAGACTTGTTGTTGCCAGCGGTGTAGACGGTAATCACCTTGGCGTAGGGGTAATCGTATGCAACATCCCATGCCCAATCATTGGTAGCAATACCACCAACATCGAGGACGCGCGGAGCGCTAGCGCGAGTGATGCATCGAACTGCAGGCTTGCTGAGGAGTTTGCCACCGTTGAGTTGCTTCTGGGCTTGTAAAACCCAATGAATAGGCAGCATCTGGTCGAGTGCTTGACGCTCCATCTGTGCACGTGCAATCCTCTCCTTTAAAACAGTCGGATCGTTGACGAAGAACTCAGAAACAGGACGCGGAGGCGCTGGGCGATCTGGCTGACAAAGCTCAAACTTGCCCAGGAGCTGATCGCGATGCGCCAAAGGACTGCAACGGCGTTGTACGTGCATGGCCTCAGCACGAGTCTGGCGGTGGATAAAAGTATCTTTCTTTTGGCACCGGGAACGAAGATACTCAAGGCCTTGGACGTAAGTGATG